ACAGCAACACCCTGCCCTGCCTGCTCAGGCAGGAAAAAAGCCACCAGCACTGCAGGGCCAGGCCAGGGGCGACCCGTGCTGCTGGAACTGCTTTGTACCTTTCCCAGCTGATGGGGGCCATCCACAGTTTTCCCATCATCATCTGGACCCCAGCTGCAAAGAGAGACACTGTGATGTAAGAGGAGTCACAGACAGCAACACTTCCTCCCGTTATGGTTTGCCATCAGAAGGAGCTACATGGTGTTGGAGTAAAGCAAAGAAAGCCTCCCAGCTGGAGGTGATGCAGGCTCACCTGCAGCTGTAGATGTCATTGATCTGATAATGCTTGTTGAAGGCGATGGCCTCCATGCTGTCAGTGAGGGGCCCATCCAGCACTCGGATGCCTGCAGACAGAAGACAATGAACGTGACAGAAGGGGATCAAAGCAAGCTGTGTAAACAGCACGCACAAATTCCTCAGCAGGTTCACAGGAGGGATGCTTCCACTCCCAGCCTGACTGAACCAGATCTCCTGAAACTATAACCAGGATCAGTCTGCAGGGGCACACTGAAGTCAGGATCTGGAACTGCAGACACATCCTCATGCTCAGTTCCACATCCTGTGCCAGACACGGCTTTTCTGCTAAGTAAATACTCCAGTCCCACGGCCAGATTCGAGTTGGTGATAGGGAAAGGACAACTGAACACCCGTTAGACTCACTCCTCGGTGCTCCAGAACATCCTTGCCCAGAGCACTGCTCCAGGTTATTGCTTCTTTTCAGGGTTAGTCCCTGCCTGGAGCAATTACTTCCCCTTCCAGGCCACCAAATGGCCAGGCGTTGCTTTGGGATGGGTGGCATGCTTGATGACTGAGGAAAGGGTACAAGAGACGTAAGACACCTCAATTACTGTGCTCAGGACCTCTTCAGCAGTATAAACAAAAGCTCAAAGCTGAGTTTTCCTTGACCCTAACCCTTAATAACTACAGTTTTACATCATAGTTTCGGCTGGCAAAGAATGTTACAAATGGAAACCAGGCACACACCTCAATTAAGACTATTTATAAACAGTACAACTGCCCACCCATCTCAGCTCCTGCCCGGCACAGTGCATGTGGCTTTTTACTGTCACATCTGAGCCTTGCTCTGTGGAGGAGCTGAGCAGCCCAGCTAGGGATGAGCTGGCTCCAGCACTTCCATGCTGCTGTGGCATGTCTCCCTGTGCCATCCCAGAGCTCAAGGCTTTTCTCCTGCACTCACCCTGCAAAGTCAGGCACATATTTGGAGAGCCAAAGGTCAAAGAAATGCTGGGTTCTGCCCCAGTGAGCTCGAGTTAACCCCTTCCTACTGCTGCATTCACAGTGCTACAGTTAAACTACTGAGTTGACCTCTTCTCCTACCAGAGTTCCACCAGTAGTTTCTGTTTGCAGTCCCTTTGGCAGGTTGGAGACTGGGGCTGTGCTATGACCCACAGGCTGCTCTGGAAGCATCCCAATGGGGAACCACGAGCAGAGCAGGGGCATGGAACTACGTGCAGTGGCCTGGGAAGCTCTGTGCCTCCTGGACCCTGCTGGCACCCTTGGGCCCACCCTGTTCCCCAGCAGGGCTGTCACAGGAGGCTGGTGCTTGTCACAGGGAATGTGGCACCATCTGCTGGGTGTGGAGAGAATCACTCAGCAACGCTGCCAAGGATGTCAGGCATAGAGATCTCACTTCCCTCTGCAAAGGAAAGTGAGAGCTCCAGAGACAACCAAAGCACATTTCCAGCTTTGCACAAGGCAGATGCGCAGCACTTTGCACCCAAGGGGAATGCGGCGTATTCGGAGACATTTGCTTTCCAACGCCTCCAGATGCAGCCTGTAGCTCTGCACTGGACTGGACATCTCTGTGCAGCGTGGCACACATTTGCTTAGCTGTGTGGTGAATATTGTGGAAACTCCCAGCACACAACTAGTGCACTGTCAGGCCTCTCTGGAGAGGAGCTGAGGAAGAGCTGAGGAAGAGCTGAGCCCTTACCTCTGAGGAAGGAATCAGTCTCAGCAAGCCCTGCCTGGTTCACAGCCACCTGGGCTGAGCCACCTCTCGGGGGGGCCGTGCCCCAGCAGCACGTGCGGAGAGCAGAACACTCAGTACACAGCTTTGCCACAGCTTGCACCTACCTGCAATGCGGCTCCCATAAGCAACTCCCACCGTGCAGAAGCTGTTGTTGGGCACAGCAGCGATCTCCCCTGCGCAGCGAGTGCCGTGGTGGTTGCCGTTCTCTTCGTCAGGGTGAGGCATGGGGTCGGGGTCATTGGAGTTCAAGTCATAGCTGCCTTCTGGGCTCTGAAAACAGAGCCATGGTCACAACTCAGAATCACAGAATCACAGAACGGCCAGGGTTGGAAGGGACCTCAAGGATCACGAATCTCCAACCCCCTGCTGCATGCAGGGCCACCAACCTCCACATTTCATAGCAGCCCAGGCTGCCCAGGGCCCCATCCAACCTGGCCCTGAACGCCTCCAGGGATGGACGGGGCATCACAACCTCTCTGGGCAGCTGTTCCAGCACCTCACTGCTCTCATAGCAAAGAACTTCTCCTTGACATCCAACCTCAATCTTCCCTCAACTTAAAACCATTTCCCCTTGTCCTGCAGTTATCTACCCTTTCAAAGAGTTGATTCCCCTCCTGTTTGCAGGCTCCCTTTAGGTACTGAAAGGCCGCAATGAGGTCACCCCGCACCCTTCTTTTCTCCAGGCTGAACAAGCCCAGCTCCCTCAGCCTGTTGCTGTGGGGAAGTGCTCCAGCCCCCTGATGAAATCTGTGGCTCTGGTCTGGACCCTCTCCAACAGCTGTCTGCCTTTCTTGTACTGGGAGCTCCGGACCTGGATGGGGCCTCACAAGGGCAGAGTAGAGAAGGACAATCACCTCCCTGGCCCTGCTGGCCACCGCTCTTCTGATGGAGCCCAGGATACTATTTGCTTTCTGATCTGCAAGAGCACGCTGCTGGCTCATGTTCAATCTTTCATCCATCAGGACCCCCAGGTCTGCAGGTCTGCTCTCAAGGACCGCTCCTTCCACTCCGTATAAATGCCTGGGATTCCTCGGGCATCTGCTTTCACACACGAGCAGACACCACCAGGGCGTCCCAATGCTCAGCCACCTGCCCACTGTCCCTCACACCCACAGTGCCAGCACTCACGTAATTTGGCTGTATGTCCTTGATGGTGTGCTCCACGCCATCGTCCACCACCACTACCGTCACACCGCGCCCCGTCACGTTCCGCTCCCACACGCCGGTGACGTTGATGTCCTTCCCGGGGCTCTTGCGGTTGTTCTGAGCAGCAGAAAGGACAGTGAGAGCAGTGCATGAGGAAGAGCAGCAGCGCATCAGCCCTGAGAGCAGGAACCTTTTGCAAAATTACAAAGTGCAGGACCAGGGTGAGTGCAGGGAGGTGTCAAGGACAGTCACTAAGGATTGGTTTTACACAGCCAGCGTGCAACAGCCGCTCAGCCACAGAACAGAGCACCAGCACTGCACAGGCAGCACCGGATGCACAGACAGCTGCTGCTTTGCCCATGTGACTTCTCACTCGTAACCACACAAAGGGCTCCATGTTGCCATCAGGGCAGAGGCAGAAAAACCACTCACCAGATGCCACTGCTGGGGGTATTTGGGATCATTAAAGTGCAGGCTGCGTTTGGAGCGCTTCAGAAGCTTCTGTTCCGAATGCCACCGCACGCTGTCATGCTGTGCAAACAAAGTGTCCACTGATCTCCTTATTGCTTCGGGTTCGGGTGCCGGGTGGCTGTCGGGCCGGTAGGAGAAGAGGTAATGGCCCTTGAGCTCCCCGATGCGGCCCATGTTCACCAGCCCCGCGGTCTGGGCCAGCAGCTCCGCCCGCTGCTCCAGTTCCTCCTCCGGCACATCCAAGCTGACGGCCCACGCCAGCTCCCCGTGACCACGGGCCACACTGTGGCCATCATCGAGCTCCATGCTGCGGCTCAGTCCGTGGGGCAGCAGGAAGGGGATCCAAGCAGCGCCCAGCCAAAGGCACGTGTGGATGCAGCGCACAGCCTGCACTCCTGCGCTCCATCGCGGCGACCTCCGCTCCCGATGCGGCATCAGACAGGCAGGCTGGAAAAGAGCCAAAAAAGGCAAATACTGATGACAAAAAGGAACAGCGACTAAAAAGAGGAACGGTGAGACCTGTTTCCAGCACTTCCAGTGCAGGTGCCACAGTCCCAGACAGTGCCGGTCCCTGGCACTGTCACAGAATCACAGAATCAGAGAATCACAGAATGGCCCGGGTTGGAAGGGATTGTGAAGCTCCAACCCCCTGCCACGTGCATGGCCACCAATCTCCACGTTTAATACCAAACCAAGCTGCCCAAGGCCCCATCCAGCCTGGCCTTGAACACCTCCAGGGGCGGGGCATCCACAGCCTCTCTGGACCTCTCTGGGGTCCCTTCCAACCCTGGCCATTCTGCGATTCACATCCCGCACTGCCAGGCCCCGAGCAGGGCAGCGCCCAGCCCATCTCTGCCCTCTGCTGTAGGAAAGCAGCAGGGAAAACCCACCTCACCGGTCGGACACCCGCTTCACCCGTAGGCTTCGCTGCCGGCCGCCACCCAGCGCACCCAGCGCTGCCGGGCCGCACCAGGTTAAAGTCCAGTCCAGCCCTGCGCCCTGCGCTCCGGCCGCCCTCTCCATACGGCGCGGCCGGGCGGACGACCACCCTGCCCACGGCCCGCCGCTCCCCGTCCCCCGCGGACGCCCTGCCGGGCCCCAAGGCGATCCCGCAGCCCGGTCCCGCTCACCCCGCATGGGCCGCCGGTGCCGCTCCGCCGCCGGATGCCGCGGCTTCTGACAGCGCCGTCACGTCCGCGCCCGCCCCTCCGCGACGCGACCTCCGCTCCGCAAGGGGGCGCCGTCGCCGCGGGCGCTTCCGGCGGCGGCCGGAAGGGGCGGGGCGGGGCGGGCTGTACGCGGGCCGAGCGGCGCCGCTCCGGGCCCAGCCGCAGCCTCCGGTCGGGTCGCCATGGCGCTGGAGCGGGCGCAGGCCGAGGGCCCCGCCGCCGCGCCGCCCGCCAGGTAGGCCTCGGGGCCGGGCGGAGGGGCCACGTCGCGGCTACGGCGGCGGGTGACCTGTTTGTTTCGCACAGCCTCTCCGCCCCGGAGAGCCCCGGCGAGGCGGCGCCTGGTGGAGAGGCGGAGTCCGCGGCCCTCCCCGGTGAGGCGGCGGGAGGCGAGGGGGAGCGCGGGCCGGGCGGCGGCGCGGAGGCCGCGGGGCAGAGCGAGGGGGCGGCGGAGGAGGACGAGGCGGAGGAGGCGAGCGTGAAACCCTCGCAGAACATCGCGGTGCAGGTGGGCACGGGGCGGCGGGGAGAAGCTCCGGGGCCGGGGGTGTAACGGGGGTTGGCGGTGAGGGGCTTCCGAGGCGGCTTTTAAGTAAAGGAGTGAAGCGATGCGTTGGCGGGGAGCGACCCCTCGCGGGGCTGAGCCGTTGCTTTGGGACGCCTCCGGCGCTGGAGGTGACTGGGGGAAGGCCGGGGTGTTTGCGAGGGTGTCTGATGGGAGCCGTCGCCCTTTACAGACTGACTTCAAAACGGCCGACGCGGATGCGAACACGGATCAGGACATTGAGAAGAACCTGGTGGGTACTGAAGCCCTGTGGTAGGTCGGGGTTCTGCTGCTCCTGGCGATTTGTACCTTGCAGCTCTGGGAACTTGTGGGTGCTCAGAAAGTTCTCGTGGTGCTTTAGCAGTCAGCAGCATGACCTGAGTTCTGAAAGGCTGCAAAGCAGTGGTGGTGGGGGTAGCATCTGTGGGACCTGGTAGCTCTAATGTGTCTTATGTATGAGCAAGGAAGATCATCTTGGCAGTTCAGTGAGTAAGGGCTGTGAATCTCGGTCTGTTTCTGGCTCCGCATTAAGTGAAACGCTGCCGGTTTGTTTCTTTCTAAATATCTTGTTTATTTAAAAAATAAAAAGGAAACTATCAAAAACATTTCCTTCCACCACTCACTGCGTTTTCACTCATTTGCCTATCAAGGCATCCCAGGGCATTTGAAAATGCTCTCAGGATGTCCTATGGTGAAACTGTAGCAGTGTATAGGAGGTAGCTGGAGGCAGGGTTGTTCATGGCACTCGGCATCCTGGTGCTGCCTTCCCTACCCTTCCCACAGGATGTTTTTTTTCCCCCTTTAAATACCATCTTTGGCTTCCTGACCTGTCCTCTTTAGAAGAGGAAATGTAGCTCTGGCTGCAGCTTCAGGCAGCGCTGCCATTCATTTTCTCTGACCTCCAGAGTGTGAGCTTTGGTGGTGGGAGTCACTGAGCCGTACTTCTGCACAGATTAAGCCTTGGCATCTGCTGGGCTTCTATGTACTGTTCTGCTGAGTTTTCCCGTTTGCGTCCACGCTCTCTGTGGTGTGATGGAGGGGAAAGGTTCTCCTTGAATTTCTGCTCTCTGCTGCAGGACAAAATGATGTCTGAGAGGGCTTTGTTAAAGGAACGGTACCAGGAGGTGTTGGACAAACAGCGGCAAGTGGAGAACCAGCTGCAGGTGCAGCTCAAACAGCTCCAGCAGCGGAGGGAAGAAGAGATGAAGAACCACCAGGTAATTAGCAAAGTCTTCTTTCTGTTATCTGCCCATAGCAGTTTTGTGGTTGAGGTGGGCTGACCTGGGCCTGTGCTGAGGGGCACAGTGAGGTGCAAAACATTGTAAGAAGTGGCAGCAACCTGCACCATGGCACTTCTCCCCTTGTATTATAAGTGTGTTTCACAGCATTAAGGATTGATTCCTGCTCAGATCTGGGTGTTGAGGGTTTAGAACTGTGAAGCATCTTGCATGTGTGTCTGGTGGTCTTACAGCATCTCTCTAACACATGCAAGAGTTTTTTTTCCACATGGAAACTGGTGGGGAGAGTGGTGTGAAGTGGGAATTATCTCCCTGCCTTTATTTAGATGTCTCTAGTTGTTGCCAATGGGTCCCAGGCTTGAATGAGTGATTGACAGCTAGCTGTGTGGGGCCCAGGTTAACACAGAAGGAATCATGGGTGGCTCATCAGCTAGAACTTGTCCTTGTAAGGGGACAGGAGAACCTGCAGTTCTGACCTTCTGTCTGTCTCCTGGGTTGCCTTACGATAAACTCATGAACTAAAAAGAAAGATTTTGATGTCTGTAATCTTATAACCTCTCCAAGTTTGTTAAGAAAACAACGTCTTTATAAATAACAAAAGCCATTTCTTGAGGATTTTGCTCTTTACTTGCTTCTGCTCCTATAGGAGATTCTGAAAGCAATTCAGGCCGTTACGATCAAGCGGGAAGAGACAAAGAAGAAGATGGAGAAAGAGAAGAAGGAATTCCTGCAGAAAGAGCAGGATCTGAAAGCAGAAATTGAGAAACTCTGCGAGAAAGGCAGAAGGTACTGGCATGAACAAGCAAGCCTTTTTTTAGGAAGGAAGGCATAATTGAACTCTGCTGTACACAGACTAAGTAAAAGAGGATTGCTTTCAACCTTTGGAAGTGTGTTTCTGTGAGCATGCAAACGTGGTCTCACAAAGGAATTTTGAGCTGGATGTGGTGGTTGTACCTGTATGTGCAGACAGAGCTCGGCAGCTCCGCTGTGCTCTGTGTTCTGTCTTTCAGAATGCAGAGCCTTTCAGCAGGAGGCAGGACAGGTCATTGGCAGTGCCTTGTTTCCTGTAGTAAATTTCAGTGTTTCCTGTTGTAAAATTCCTATTTTCTTGTAAATTTCCTGCTCAAATACTCTGCCTGTGCCTGATGGTTCGGAACACACTGCACAGTCATGCTTTGCTTTCAGGTAGGCAGCTTGCTCTGTGCAAAGAATCGTGCTAGATTCACAGGGGTTCTAAAGCAGGCAAAGGGCTTCAGGTTCCTCTGAATGGTGAATTGGCATTTTTAGGGAGCCGTTCTGGGATGTCTCAGAGATCTGACTTCTTAATTTGAGGGCTCAGTAACATTTTGGAATAAAGCTGCTTTAGTAATGGCTCTCAGCACTCAGCTCCTTTCCCCCTGCATGAACTGTGGCAAACGTTGTCAGAGAGGCGCAGTTCCCTGTGGTGGATCCTGGATAAAAGCCACAGTCTGTGCTCACTGCTGTGATACAGCAAAATTTTTGCTCTTGAGGATGGCAGTGGTTGCTTTCAAACATGGGAGGTGTAGTTTGGTCTCCAGAGTTGTGGCATTGAGCACACAGCTATGCAGATGCACAGCGTGAAGGTGAGACGCGCACACCAGTGGCTGTGTGCTGACAACTTGCAGGAGGTGACTCCATCTGTTCTTTGTGTTCATGCAGGTTGCTGAAGGAGCAGGAGGAAAAGGAAAACAAGATTGCTTCTTTGATTGCAGAGCAGTCTGATGAAAAGTAAGGCTCTTATCTGTTACCTGATTAATGTTGTTGAATGTTCTTGTACTGGTCATTTTGTCTCGGAGAGCCTTGTGGGATAGGCTGGAGGTAGTGGTCTAACAATGCTCCAGTTATGTATTGTAGAGGTTTCATCTCCCCTTCCAGCAGGTTTTGCTCACAGCCTCTGGATTAAATCCTCTGATCCTGCTCTCAAGGAGGCTCCTTGATACTTGTGGCATAAAGATCCCACGAGACTGGAATTTATGCCTAATGGATTGACTCAGCTTGTAGCTGCTACTTCTGACTGAATTTCAGCTTCCCAAAAATCAGGCAAATCTATTTCTTCGTGCTGTTTCCTACAGCTGCCCAACTACTTCAAACCTTTCAGGTTTAAAGCATTTCAGGTATTTTAGTGCTGCACAGAGAAGTTCCAAACCCAGTCGCAGGTGGAAAGGGCCATCTTCCTCCTTCAGGACTGGAGTGTGTTGGTTCTGGGAAGCAACCTGAACTGTGCACCGTTCTCTGGAGCTGGCCAGAAGTTTGCTGAAGGGAGGGAGTTCTTTCCTGCCCTCTCTGCTAAGCTGTACGCTTGTGTTTGCACTGTATTTGTTTGCCGCTCTGCAGCGCTCACTCCTGGGATTCTGACTCACACAGCCTTGGGAAATGTGACTGATGTCACGGTCTGGAAGCTGCCAATGCTCCACAGTTCCACTCCGTCAGGAGTTGCAGGGATCAATTGGCTTTGTGGGAGTTTGTCAGATCTCTTCTTTCAAGTGATTCCAGTGCTGGAGCAGAGTCGTTCTGTTTCTGTCTGCAGGCAGCTATGGGAGATGGAGCTAGATAAGCTGAAGAACCAGCACAATGAAATCAACAGGAACATCCTCGAGGAGACAGAACGGGCCTGGAAAGCAGAGGTTAGTAGGTGACTTCTTCCTCTTCAGCTGGTTTGCAGGTGTCTTTTTGAGATTCTGGATCATTAATGACAGATTCTGTGAAATTAAGAGCAGGAAGGCAAGAAAAGAGTTAAGCAGATGTCAGTGCAGTAAACATTAGTTGGGATTGATGCCCCTGTGCATGCAGTGTGGTGCTTAGTGAAGAGATCACAGTCACGGTATTGCAGCAGGAAATGAGGGCATAAGAAACTGCTTTCATGTGGGGCCCTGTGTGCTAGATCCTGTCCCTGGAGAGCCGAAAGGAGCTGCTGGTGTTGAAACTAGAAGAAGCAGAAAAAGAAGCAGAGCTGCACCTCACCTACCTCAAGTAAGTCCCTCAGAATTGAAAGGGTAATTTGAATGTACCTGTGTGCCTAACTCCTCTTCCTCTGCTTGCTCTGACAGTTTGACTGGAGTGGTTCAGTTTCCTTTGTTCATCTAATGTGATTCAGTGATGTCACGGGATGGAGCTGTTTGGCTGTGCTTAAATATTTCCTGTTGCTGCTCATCTGCTGTGTAGGCACAGTACTGATTGTAGTGTTTGTCTGTGTGCACCAGATCAGTCTGTACTGTGGTAGCACCATGCACTGTTGTAGGGCTCCTCCCCTGGGTTTGAGCTTTTTTTCCTCCCCAGCCAGAAGAGGGGACCCCTGTTAGGGGAAAGCAGAGGGATTTGGGGAGTTAGTTGCTTCCAGCTGCTTCTGCTCTGCTGCCAGTGACACAGCATGCTTGCAAGAGGGAACGTTAAATTGTTCTTGCAGGTCTGCACCACCAACACTGGAGACCATGAGGCCAAAGCAGGAGTGGGAGATGAGGCTGAACAGGATACGAATGACGAAGGAAAGTGTCCGAGTAAGTTCCTGCAGGCAGCTCCCAGCTTGGGTGTGTGGTTCATGTTGGTGCTTCTTCACATGCTTAGCTGCAGCTCTCTTTGGGAGAACAGTAAGACCAGCAAAGAGGTTTGTGTCCCAAGGCGTAGCACAGTCAGTCAGCATTTGTGAGCAGCTGCAGAGCTCTGCCTGCGTCCAGACTCAGACTGGATAAGCCATGTGGATACGAAAGCAGTGTGTTGGGTTAATAACAGAGGCAGTTACTCTCTTTCTCCTTCCAGGTCCTTTCTCATTCTCTTCAGTCCTGCAAAACCAAGCCATGTCTGCTTTGGGGCCTGCAACCATTCTGGGGCTGAGTGCTTTGTTGAGGCAACAGTGCCAGGGGAATTTGCCTGTTCTAGGAATTTGGAGCCCCAAAATTCCTTAGCCAGAGGCTTTGATAAACACGCCTGTTTTCTTTTCTCTCTTCTAGGACCAGTTCAATGACCACATTCAGATGGTGAGAAATGGAACGAAGCTGAGCAGCCTCCCACAGATCCCAACCCCAACATTGCCACCTCCACCCTCAGAAGTGAGTGCCTCTCCAGTCCAACAAATACAAGCTTTGATTGCTGTGAGGCTCTGGGAATAGCCTGTTTGCTGGCTTGTGACTGCCAGTGTCTGTGCTAAGTCCGTGAAAGGAGACTCTGTAGGACTGTGCTTTTTGGAGCTCTCTGCTTGTCCTTTGAGGCAGCTGTCTGCCTGGGCTCAACTGCTGCCCCTGGTGAGAATGGGCTGCATGGCCCTCACTTGCCACGAGAAGCGTAATGGCCAGTGGCTGTGGCTCAGCTCAGCTCCTGTCTGGCTGGGGAGGAAGACGCTCAGCTGTGCTTTGAGATGGACTTACTCTAACCAGCCTTTTCTTCCCCCCTTGTTTTTCTTTCTCAGACAGATTTCATGCTGACGGCATTCCAGCCCAATCCATCCCTTACTCCCAGGCTCCCATTTCCCATAGGACCGGTTCCTGTTCCCATGGTCATGCCAAGCGCTGATCCTCGGGCGCTTTCCTTTCCTCTCCTGAACCCTGCAATCTCCAGACCCAACCAGCCTTCCCCACCGCTGCCTGCATCCCAAGGAAGAAACAGCCCCGTCGTGGCATCGCTTATTGGCCCACACAGTCCTCACATGACTCCTGCAGCCTCCATCCCTCCTCCACCGGGTCTGGGAGGAGTTAAGGTCACTCCGGAGTTTCACAGGTCACAGCCAGCAGATAAGCTGGAGAAGCTGCTGGAGAAGTTGTTGACTCGATTTCCCCAGTGCAACAAGTAAGTGTCTCATGGTGTTCTTCCCTGGGAATGAAAACATGTGGGTGAGGTGCGGGCTGGGATAAGGGGAAGTGAAGCTTGTCTGGAGAAATAAGGGAAGCTTGAAGACAAGGGGTGGCTGCTCTCTGTCAGTAAGAAAGACTTGGAGCTTTAGTTAAAAGACAGCACTGAGACCTGAAAGCAGCCAAGAGCTCTGCCTTCCTCTGCTGAGGTGCTGCACCAGGTGGGCACTGTCTTTTGCTCCAGCTGGGATTTCCCTCACTTCCTGCTGTTTCAGGGACAGAAGCTCAGCATGCGATGCATCTCATTTGGATGATTGAGAGCACATGTTCCTGTGCTGTGATACAGCCTTCCCCTGGTGCTGGGGGGCTGTCTCACTGTTGTGGGTCTTTTGATGGAGGGCTCCCCTCTGGGGAGATGCTTGGCTCAGTGGTGGCGGGTGGGAGCTCTGAGCAGGCTGCTGTTCTGCAGGGCCCAGCTCACCAACATCCTGCAGCAGATCAAGACTGCTCGGAGGACGATGGCGGGTCTGACTATGGAGGAACTGAACCAGCTGGTGGCAGCCAAGCTTGCGGAGCAGCAGGAGCGGGCAGCAGCTGGGGCTCAGGTAGGATTGTTGGGGTGGTGCTGGGGGCCGTGCCGGCTCCTGGTGGGGGGCTGCAGGGAAAGGGAGCCTGGGTGGCAGAGAGAAGCGAGCAGCTCCTGTTCCCTGGCTCCCTGCAGACTGAGCTGAATGGGGGCCCACTGGTGGGACCACACAGAGCTCAAGCTTGGGTTGTACATGCTAGGGGAGCAATTTTTCCCAAAGGTAACTCAGCAGCATGGCTGTCCTTTTCTTCTGCACATTTCTGATGTCTTCTTTGCCTTCCCACAGCCTCTCGGTCGGATCAGGGCCCCCATGTTTTCTGCTCCACTGCCTCAGATCAGCACGCCAATGTTCCTGCCCCCAGCCCAGGTAGCTTACCCAGGAACGGCATCACATGTAAGATTTTGTGGTTTTTCCAAGTGCACTTCACCATCTCCAGGGAAAGCCAGCTGGAGAGGGAGCCCTTCTGAGAAGTGGCCAAAGGGATGAGCTGGTGGAGCAGGGAGCTCTCTTTCTCCTCACACAGCTGCTTAGGCTGGTGGGTTAGAAGGGACGGGTTGGAAGCGTGGGTTCTTCTGTGCTCTGCATCAAAGGAGGAGAGAAAATGCTGTGGGATTGGTGTGCAGAGGGAAGAGCTGGGCAAACTGGGGCCCCTTGCAAGACTAGTAGCTGCAACACTGAATATGTGTGTGTCTATCTGTGTAGTTCAGCTGTCTGCTTTGTGTTCTCTTGCTGTTCGACCCAGACCCCAGCTGCCTGTAAGCTATGTCTCATGTGCCAGAAGCTTGTACAGCCCAGCGACCTTCATCCCATGGCCTGCTCGCATGTGCTGCACAAGGAGGTAAGTCCTTCCTTGCTACGTACATCTTCTGTGTTCCTTAATTATGGTTCCCAGTGCAGATTCCTCTCCTGGGTCCCTGGGTGTATGTAGTGAGTTCCTGTTGTATGGAGACTTTGCCAGGAGAAAGGTACGATCAATCCATCGACTTCTCTGTGTCCTATCACTTCGTGCTCTTAGCTGGGCCACCCTGGCCACCATTTGCTGGTGGCTTTAAGAACAAGGCTATCTTTATTCGGCCTTGGAGCTTGTGCTCATTTTTAGGAGGGTTAAATCTTGGCCTTTTGCATTCCTGGAGGAGGAGAGTCTGGGAGGTTATAGAGCACAGGGCGATGGAGAAGGCTTGCACTCACCTCACTGCTGGTGCACAGCAGGCCTGTGCACAGGAGCTCGGTTGAAAAGGGCTCCCCAGTCACAGTGACCTTTTGACCGAGCTGTTCCTAAGGAGCAAACAAGCCATCCCATAAAATGGATGCCCTTTGCCATCGCTTCTGGAGAAGTAACGCCACGTTCACAGCACCTTTGAGTTGTGCCAGTGGCTCTTGACTAATTCTCTTTCTTCCAGTGCATCAAATTCTGGGCACAAACCAACACAAATGACACTTGCCCCTTTTGTCCAAGTCTCAAATGACGGCTACTCGAACAAAGTGGTCCCACGGGAGGAGTTGCTGTGAATAGACAGGATCAGTTCTAAGATTTCTACAGTTCTATATTTATACGACCATGTATACACATGTACATTTTTATTATATAGGTAATGTGTGTATAGAAAGTCTGTATACATACAAATTCATAAATAAAGTGTGTATATTATGCAGTGATTTGGTGCTGCTCCTTTTTCACCTCGCTGTGTGAAAGCACAACCTGCCTGCAGGGACTCGCTTCCCCTCACTGGGATGTCACACGTGCTGTGCCACATCCGCCTGCTGCTCCTTGTGCGTGCTCTGAGCAGTTCCCCTCCTAGCAATGAACAGATTGCAGATGAGAAGCTTTTGGTTCTTTTTATTTTCTTTAATGTAATAATTTACTGTGTTAACATTCATTGTTCTTACACAGACAATAGGTTACAGAGTACCGGAGTCTATAGCGACAGCCTGCCCTAGCCATCCCCAGCCCTCCTCCCTCTGGGCAGAGTTCTGCACACGCTTTCTCCTGGTGTTTCCCGTTGTAGTTTTGGGTCCTGGTGAGGGAGCACTGGGCAGCAAACAAATTTGGCTGCACTGCAGCTCAGGATAACCAACCAGTTGCGGTTCCTCGGATCCCCTCTCCTGTACTTTCTGCTAAAGCCCGGGCTGATGCACCAACCCTTTCTCCGTGGATTTCAATGAGATTACAAGGTGCTCAGCACCACTTAAAATCTTGTACTTATTCTGTAGGTTTTTTCCTTTTTTTTTTTTTTTTTTTTTTTTTTTTTTTTTTTTT